TTATGGTACAAATGTGAATATTGCACTGAGTAAATTGTGAATGGAAGGAAGCTGAGATTGATCTAAAAATGACTCCTCATCTCTCCCCCTGGTTCTTTATTAATAAATATTAAAGATTTTGTTTTCATGAATTATAGCTTGGTGATCTAGAAGTCGAAGTTGTACTTGATAAAGCAATGATATTATTTCGATATTTAGAAGAAAAAGATGTATTTGAACGATATTATAAACAACATTTAGCTAAACGTTTATTGTTAAATAAATCAGCATCAGATGATGCTGAAAAAAATATGATATCAAGATTAAAAACTGAATGTGGTTGTCAATTTACATGTAAATTAGAAGGAATGTTTAAAGATATAACTCTATCAAATTCAACAGCAGATGATTTTCGTTTACATGTTTCACAAAAACGAGTAAGCAAAAACAAAAAATACAACAAAATCATTTGTTGATATATTTCTTTTTTCTATTTCATCTTTCATATGTTTGTTTTTTTGTCAAATAGTTAAATTTAAATGGTATTGATTTATTTGTACGAGTATTAACAACAGGCTTTTGGCCAACACAAAATACAAATAATCAATGTAATTTACCAGCAGCTGTTCGAGACGCATATCAATGTTTTCATCGTTTTTATTTGAGTAAACATAGTGGAAGACAATTGACATTACAACCAAGTTTAGGTTCAGCTGATTTAATATCGATATTTTATGGTAAACCAAGAGAAGACGATAATGATGGAGAAATGCGACCAACAACAACAATGTCAAAAGAACGTAAACATACATTACAAGTATCAACTTATCAAATGGTTATTTTAACGTTATTTAATACAAAAGAATGTTGGACATTCGAAGTAATTTTTATTGATGAAAATTTTTCTAATTTTTAAAAGAGATAAACAAAGAAAAAACACTGAGAAAATGATTATTTTTCACATTGATACTATAACAAAATAAGCATCAAAATATAAAACTAAATTCAAGAAAAATAAAATTATTTTAATTTAATCTTGTTAGATCTGTGGACAGTATTTCATATATAAATATTTAATAATGAAGTGCTTAGAATATTTTTTGCGAAATACGATCTAAAAGGAATGTTGAAGTATAGAAGTAAAAATTTTAATTCACTCCCTTCTTTATCTCACAGATGGAGTTCGACGGTTCCGGAAACCAAACCGAAAGTGCTAAATCATCAGATAGATATAAAAATTCTTAAATCTATGCCGAGAAATCTTCATTTTTTCATTCTTGACATTACATATTTCAGTATATATGTATAATATTATTTTTGTTGAAGTACCAAAATATGTAAAGACTTTAATCTCAACAATTCAATATTGAAAATTTCTCAAAATAGATTCCAAATTTTCGTATCTATCCGATGATTTAATGTTTTTGGTTCTACGGAATATTTTGGAAACCAAATCGAAACCATAGTTTTGAGTCATTTTTGGAATTGCCAAATTGTATCCAGAGACATCTTAGCAACTTTCTTTTCTCCGCATCATGGACCCTGTATCATATGTCTTGTTATAATCTACGAATTACTTTTCTATGGCATTTCTAGAAGATTAAGTAAAAAGAAGGCTAAGAAATGTGTCCCAAAACAGATAGAATAAAACAATCACCCTGTGATTAACAAGAACAGCTATATCGTATTTCACATTTTAATCCTGCAAGGATTGCGTTAACAGCTTTTGTTGTATGCGATTAAAACTTTGGACTTTTTATATTTTACTATTTTTTTGAGATTCTAAGATAGAATTATTAATATATAACATTTGTTTTTCCTTTTAATAGGAAATGCATCATGAAACAGATATAAATGAAAAAGATCTTCAACGTGCATTGTTACCATTAGCAATGGGTAAACCAAGTCAACGTATACTTCTTAAAGAATGTAAAACAAAAGATATTAAATCAAATGATAGATTTATTGTTAATGATTCATTTACATCAAAATTATATCGTGTAAAAATAAATCCAATAACACCTAAAACTGAAAGTGATCCTGAACGACAAGAAACTCGAAGTAAAGTCGAAGATGATCGAAAACATGAAATTGATGCAGCTATTGTACGTACAATGAAAACAAGAAAAACAATGTCACATACACAATTAGTTGCTGAAGTAAAAATTTTTTGTAGATTTTCTTTTTTAAAAATAAATTTGTTTTTTCTTTTTTGTGTAGGTTTCTCATCAATTGAAAGCACGATTTATGCCCAGTCCTGGTTTTATAAAGAAACGAATTGAAAGCTTAATTGAACGAGATTATTTATCACGATTATCCGAAGATAGGTAAGACGAATATACAGGTTGACTTATAAATAACTAGATGATAAAGAAAATACAATATCTACAGTCTGCTTTAATTAATCGAGCGAATGTTCTTTTTTGGCAGTCGAGGATTCATCAAAGTTTTTATTCATAAGAAAACTATTGAAAAGATATCATGTAGAACTATAGACCAAGATGTAGCTCAGCCATTCTGAGGGCTAGACGTATGAAATTTTTTGCATATATATTACTATGAAAATGTAGATCAGTGACATCACCTTGGTTTTGTCCACTTGAGTCAAAGATAGAGAGCTGTGGGTCCACGTTTTTTGTGGACCCAGACTCGGATCCAAACTCGGGGTTTTTTCCATCAATACCTGGCATCCTTCGTGTACATGAACAAGTAAAGGATCAAGGTTTTAGCTATTTATTCGCTACTCTTAGAAAAAAACTCGATGTAAAGTTATATCTTGTTGCTATATTTCTCATCTGAAGAGAAGCAGGATATTCACATAAATGTGTAACCGGATCCGACAAAAAAATAAAACTTTGAACCTGGGCTCGGATCCTGCCAGGTCCAGATCTGGAAAAGATCCGCAGTTCCCTAGTGGAAGAAGAGTTATGATATATGGTAATTATTCCCATTGTGAGTCCTTCAACTTAGGAAAGGAAGAAGCTTATGACTTGGCAAACCTATCTTTATATAGTCTTTTAATGCGGCTATTTACATTATGAATTTCATTGAATTTTATTTTGAGCGTTTAAAAACTGCAGATATTTTACATAATGATAGGTTGATTAGATCATAAGCTCTTTTCCTTTTTAAGTTATAGAACTCATGAAAAAACCCAGCTCGATTGATTAAAGTTGATTCGAGATATTGAGTATTCTTATTATCTAGTCATTTATGTGCCATCTTGTACATTTCTATATATATATATTATTAATTTCTATAATCTCTTTGTCTTTTTATAGGAAAATGTATAACTATGTAGCCTAAACAAACAAAGCATCATTTTTTTTGTGGTTGTTTTCTTTTTTTTCGGTTATTATTTGTGAGATTGTATTCATTCATATTTTGTCTTCTAATTCGTGTTCATCACATCATCCATGACCATTTTACATTAATCATATGACATATAATTGTCTTCCCTTGTTTCTTTTTTCTTTTTCATTTGTTCACTCTATTTTCTTTTTCTTTTCTTTTTTGTCTTCTGTTCTGCGTTTTTTTTTATTTCTTCAAATTTATCTGAGCCTTTTCTTTTTTTTGTCTCTCAAAAAAAAAAATATATATATATATTTCGGGCTCATGTTTGCATGTGTGCGCGCATGTAACTATATGTGTTTATGTGTGAGTGACACACTATGATTAAACGATTTTTGAATGACTATTCAAAAGACCTTTATCGGTGTTAAACATAAAAGTAGGTTTTTAAAACGAAAAAAAAACAAATTGGAAATAAAATATTATTTATCAAAAATCTCACAAAAAAGAATCCATGTCTTCATATGTATATCAATGTACTTCTTTAAAAAAAATTACTTTTATTCAAAGTGCAAATAATGTAAAATTCGAGCAAAATCTTTTCTTTTTTGTTTTTTTTATACATGGTTAAATAGAACTCGACGAAATGAGTAAGAATATGTAATTTATTATTTTGTTTTAAAAGTCTTTCGATTAAAGAAAAAATTGACTTTTTTCGATAATGCTAAATGATCAATTTTTTCTAAAAGTATGTTTTCATACTAAATAACTGATATATTTAGATCCGCTATGAAAAACTGAGTCTATGAAACTAATTTTAAAATTAGTTTCACAGACGTAACTTTTCATGGTGAATCTAAATCTATCAGTTATTCAGTATGAAAAACGTACGTTTAGAAAAGCATCGACCATTGCAGGACTATTGAAAACTCGATTTGTTTAATCGAAAAACTTTGAAAAAGAAATGATAGAATACATATTCTTACTAACTTCGTCGCGCTCTATTTAGCCATGTATAAAAAAAAATGAAAAAAAAATATTGCACTTTTTGCACATCAAATAATGTGAATAATACGGAAAGTGCAAAAATTTTCGACACCGTACTAGAGAGCTATAAAAAAACACAAAAGCCACCAATTATCACCCATTGTGATTCATTTGAAAGAATAAAATAGTAAACAGTCGATCGGACTATTTATATCTCTGATTATGATTTGTAACTTTTCATCGAGGGTTATAAAGTCAGAAAAAATTTCTTATATTAATTTGTTTATTTTGAATATAATCACGAACAGTCAAAATACATAATAGCAAAATATTTGAAGAAAAGAAAAACCATATTTTCAAAATTAACAAATGGGTATTTTACAACTATATTTGTGTCTATTATTTGCTCATAACAGAAAAATTTGATTCATTGATCCATGTCGGTATATATTAGCATTCGAATGATTTTTATGCTCTGCTCTACTTTTACCTTTACTTCAATGTTTATTAAGGATTATCAACCGAAACGATACAATAAGAAAAAGAAGAAGGTAATTTTTTATTGTAGATATATATATATAGATAGATAGATATGTCAATCTTAATCACTCACCTTGTATTATTAAACGATAAAACGTATCTACGCGTGATTGCTTCGTTTATTTATTGAGGTTTTTTTTTACCAATACATAAAATATTCTTTTCATTTATTTAGATATTATTCTATCGTTGATTCTAATTAAATGGCTTTAGCTTCAATTTATCCCATTAAACTTTCATCAAATGATACAGAAAAATTAGATAAATTAGTAAAAGATCTCAATAAAGTTGAATGGGAAAATGGTGAATATTATTTTCATAATTTTGTTGATTATTATCAATTACCACAAATAATACGTGTTGAACAAGGATGGAATACAAATTTGATTAAAAATCAATCAATGTATTTACAAACATTATTTGATCGTTATTTAATTATTGCTTCACCATTATCATCATCAAGTAAAAGTAGTTCATCAAAACAAAAATATCTTATACCAGATTGGTTCCAAGGTGAATGTCGTATTGTATCAAAACACCCCGTACTTAAAAAACGTTGGTGGATTTTTCAAGGTACATTTGAATTATATCGATTTGATTTACCACGCTCAATAAAAGTTCTTGCTGATACACCAGCACATATGCGTAAAAAAGAAGCATCATCAACTCATGAATGGGATAAAATTGTTCTACGTAAAAGTGCTCGTCTTAATGTTGTACGTCGTGAACAATATCAATCACGTATTAAAAATGATAAAGGTGAATTAATTGTAAGTGAACCAAAAGAAGCATTTGTACTTCAAGATCCAAAAAGTGGCCATGAATTTATTTTACCACCTGGTGTACCATTACGTTTTGCAACATTAATTGAAGATACTGAATTACATGCACAATATAAAAGTCATGAAGGAACATTTACATTTCCAGAAATAATGATGCGTTATGATTTTCCACTCGATATTGAAGTAACAACACATTTACCGGCTGATTTACCTGATTTTAAACCAGAAGTTAGATTAGAAAAATTCTGTGTTGCAAAATCTGTTTTAGGTTTTCTTATCGGTCAAGATCAACCAAAATTAATTGAACTTTCACCATTAACACAATATACATTACATTGTGCTAAGTATAAAAAATTTTTAAAATTTGCTTTATTTTTTGTCTAAATATTAATATGTATATGTATATATATATATATATATATATTAGATGTTTAACATTTGGTTTACCGCGCGAAGGTGAAAATGTTGAACCAGATAAAAAAAAAGAAGAAAAATTTGATGAAAAAGATTATCAACGTTATGAAGAAGTTCGAAGTAAAATGAATATGATTTTTGATGATTCAGTAGAACTTCACAAAAGTAAAATTCAATTAGCATTACCTGACGAGGTTTGTTAAGATTTATTTTTTACTTATTACAAATTTTCTTTTTTTTTTTTGTTTCAAAATATAATAGCTTGATTGTGTTGAAACAGCTTTTGAAATAAGTGTGCGAATGAAAGCTGAAGAAGATCGACCAGTAGATACTGCTTATTTAACATTAGAAGAAGCAATTAAAATTGTTAAACAAACAAAAGATGATATTCCATTTCCTAAACCACAACCGAAACGATTTACTGTTCATGCTAGTGCTGATCCAAGTAAATAAAAGAAAAAAAATATTTTCTCCTAATCTTTAAACATAATTTTATCTAATTTAATATTTCAGGTAATCCATACAATGAAGTTATTGATTTTGAAGATGTGGAAGCACTAAATGAAAGTGTCGAACAAAATCCACCTGAAGCATCAAAAAAAGAAAGTTCAAAATCGGAAAGTTCAAAATCGGAAAGTTCAAAATCGAAATCATCATCGAAAAAATCACGTGATAAGCCTGACAAACCAACAAATCAATCAACTAAACGTCCTGCTCTTGTTGTTCAACAATTACCACCACCAATAATTTTACCACCGTAATTTCCTTTGTTTTTTTCTACTTCTATTGAAATCTTAATCAAAAATATTGTTGTTTGTTTTTTTTTCATAGTGAAGCATTCGAAAGAACTGTTAAAGCAATTCCGGATAAACTCTATACAAGTTTTATTCCAGCTACTGTTATAAAGTATGTTAATTGATTATTTTATATTTAATGAATAATTTTATTTTATTTTTTTTGTATAGAAAAATGGATAAAAAAGAAAACGAAAAAGATAAAGACAAAGATAAAGAAAAGGAAAAGGACAAACATAAAGATAAAGACAAAGATAAAGTTAAAGAAAAAGACACCGAAAAAAAATCCAAGAAAAGTCATAAATGATCATGGAAGAAGAAAACAAAAATAACAAACTAATATTGAACTATCTTTAATTTAGTTTTATGATGTTGTACTAAACAAAAAATAGCTTAATAAAATCTAAATAAATAAAATAAGAAAAAAACATAATGAAGCACAAGAAACAAACAAATAAACAATATTATTCATTAATCATTATGTTTCAATGGTGGTAAGCGACGTGGAACGAGACATATCGAAGGTTGGGATGAAATAATCGATGATTGTGTCAACGCACTTAATAACACATCTCGACGTGGTTCAAGACGAGAAATTGTTTCGAAAGATTTTAAAGGCATTCGAAATTTTGATATGTTAGTATTCTAGAAAAACAAAAAAATATTTCATTTCATATTGAGAAAAGAAAAAAAGAAATGACTTCAATAGAACATAAATTTGTGAATTCACTTGGATGAGTATTGATGGTATTTTGTCTTGTTAATTGTTCTTTAATATGAGATTTTGACACTGTTGGATCAATATAAGTTATATTAATCTTTTATTTTTATAAAGAAAATAATCAAACGAAAAAAAAAAAAAATCAAAATTCAATAAGAAAATTCTTACTTGATTTAATTTTGTTCGTAACAAAAATGTTTTTTGTCGAATAATAAACTAAAAGATTAAACGAAAACGAAAAAAAGAAAACCATTGATTTAAATCGATTATAAAATTTCTAAATTATACCATAAATATACAATATGTTAAACATTGAATAGATATTGTCATTGCTTTGAGAATTGTTATTTGAAAATTTGGTATAATATCAAGAATATTTAGTAAAATAACAATTGCATTAGTTAAAAACCTATTTAAATTATTGCTATTATTATTAGAGACAAAAGAAAAATAATTTTCTTTGTTTTTTACCAGAAAGAAAAAATAAAAAACGAATAAAATGTTTTAGTAGAATTTTTAATTGTTAATATAAGAGATATAATAAACCAAAGACAAGTTAAAAGATACATTATCATTTGAATATAATCACATATAATGAAAATATTTTCATTGATAAATACTCGATCGGCATACTTAATGAAAGAAAAAAGAAGTCTTTACAAGATATCATTAGTTTTATTAACTTACTGTCGTTATAATAATTAAAATAGCTATCTGCACATGTATATATAATAGAATAATCAGCATTATTTCTGTTAGTGTTTTCTTTTTTAAATGAACACATATAATTAAATAACCTTTTGCAGAAAGAATTAATATAAAAAGAAATAATGTATGAGCACATATATTAAACAATCGAGCAAGAAATATTAGTAATTGAAATACAAATGCATCAATATTTCCTATTAATGCAAATATAAACATTTCAATAAAACATATTAAACTATTAAGCCATGAAAATAATATTGAAATAAGATATAAATTAATTATTAAACAAGATTTTGTTTTTGATGAATCTAGACAACAAAAAAAAACAAAATTATTCTTTCATTTTATATATAAATTCAAATAAAAAAAACTTACATATATATCTAAGAACAGTTAATAAAATTATAGTATAGATACTTGTACTAATAATATATAATTGCAATATTCCTGAAGAATATAAAAGAAATATAATATTTAATAAATATAAAAAATTTTATTACCTTGTTCATCATTAGAAAAATGTTTCATAAATAAGTTATTTCCATTTGTTAAGATTAATTTGTATGCAAAAGATAAATCCTATTTATTTTAATAATTCATATATGTATATATATGTCGTATCGAAGTTACACCGGTCGACGAAGTTATAACTTCGTCAAGAATGTTGACGAAGTTATAACTTCG